TATATATATATATATATATATATATATATATATATATATATATATATATATATATATATATAAACCTGCATCATGGACAGAGGGAAAGTCGAAATTCCGAGGGCATAATCAGTCATCGGCGTAAGGCCGAGCTCCGGCCTGGGGGCGAAGTCCCCCATGTCGTTAATCTCGCCGTCGCACTCCGCCTCGACGAACAGCACCCCCTCGCCGTTGCAGTCGATTGCGATGCGGCCGTTTTCAGTAGTCAGCCTCCCCGCCATAGGGTAGAACTCAACTAGGGCACGGCTGAGCGCCGCCTTGAGCACCGTCGTGTGGAAGAATTTGGCGGCGCCGTCGTAGCGGTAGTAGTAGACGGTGCGCGTGTGGTAGTTTGTCGGCATCACCAAGTCCAAATTCGTTAACCACATACACTCACTCGGGGTTTCTGCATTTGGACCCACCATCGCCGAGCTCGTCACACTTATCTTCATGGAGAGAGAGAGAGAGAGAGAGAGAGAGAGAGAGAGAGAGAGAGGGGGGGTGTCGTTAGGTGTTTTAGAGTACTAGAAAATGATTATATATTGTTCGGATTCTATATAAGGAAAATAAAAAGCCATGCATAAATCGCTGGATAGAGAGACAGGGTGGATTTGGTGTAGTTGGGTTTTGGTAGGGCAGACATAGACATATAATCCCTCTATTATTTGTTTATTAACCATGCATTATCAAATTTAATGTATTAAAAAATTTAGAGTAAATTACAGCCACTCAAATTGCCTGATTTTTTTCTCTTCTTGTTTGGGTAATTATAACCACTTTCTTGAACTATAAATTTTCTTATACTTTAATCTTTATGATGTCAAATTTAACATAATCTTTTAGGTTCAGTGAAATGATCTCTAGTTTGTATTCATTTTGTGTAAAAATGCAGTTTCTGATGCACTACAATCTGATGTTTATATGCAAGCCAAGAGGCGCATCATGATCTTGTTTCAAAATGTGGGGCTCGGATGCGAGATGGAATGGTTACAAACTGGAGAATATGCTTTATAATTTAGAAGATTCCACTAATTCTGACACTGCAATGGTGGGGCTGTAAAAAAAATCATAGTTCACGGATGATTTTAATTACCGAAACATGTGTCTTTTGGACTGAAAAATAAAATTTTCTTACAAGTCAATAAATTTCCAAAAGTATATATAATTAAACGTGTAAAACGTGTAGTTTTATTATTTTGTTTTTTATGTCTCGATGCATGCAATGACTTAGTTCTATATTTACAATTTTTAAAATAAAGTTTTGTTATGAAACAAAATAAACGAATGGGGTCCGATTTGATTCCATCCATATCAGTTCAAAAGCGACCTCTCATCCACTTTCAGTATCATTCACACAATACTTAAAACTATATAGAAAATTAGTGCGTTCAAATAAAAGCAAATTGGCCCATAATTAATAGGATAGGATATGCAACTTGTCACGTTTGTTATGAAAATTATCACTCTTAATGCTAGCTAGCTAGTTCATGCACGTCAAGTAGATAAATAAACAATATTTTTTTAATAAATATTTATAAATTATGATTAAAAATAACATATTTATCAAAACAACTCCAAATTTTTAAAACACCATATATTATTCTTGTAAGTTGTTAGTCCAACATTTTGAAATCTATATATGATGCACAATTTAAAAGTAAGAAAATAATTAAGTCAATTCCGAAAATAAATTAAGTCAAATTTCAAAATCTTAACAAACACGTTTTTATTTGGAAAAATAGTGAGAAGAAAAAAAAAAACAAAATCGAGCCAAACATTACAAATTTTATTTACTTTATTCTCATAATATAATTTTGAGCATAATAAATTGTCTCGTAGTAGCTATAACGTGTGGAATTTTTATTTTTTTCGTAGTTGATATATACTAAAGGTAAAATTACAACCATCCCCTAAGGTAAGATGTTTACGGAAAAATCCTTACATTTTTATAATTACATTATTTCCCTTGTAATTTGTAAATTTTTTACATTGACACGATTTGTAGGGGTTGGACATAAGAAATTTACAAACTATAGGTTTATGGATGTAATTTCTCAAAAAGAAGGGCTTTTTTTTCGTAATTACACTTTATCTCAAGCATGTGGTTGAAATTTACCCAATACTTTATACTTATACCAAAAAACGAAATTTCTCGTCCTTAGAACCCCATCGCCTAGTCCGACAAGTTTTGATGGAGGAATGTAAATTATGCTGACTCAACGGCTCGTTAGGGTAGCGAACCTGAATTTGGTGTCCATAAAAATCAACCCTCATTGGAGTTGAAATTTCCACAATGCAACTGTCAATGTTAGTACTCGATCCTCGTATTTTGTACCAACTTACCACCCGGAACCATTTGAGCATAAAAACTACACACATGTTCACATATGTATATATATATATATATGTATATATATATCAAGGTTGTAAAAAGCGATAATCGGGTCGGAGGCGGTCAGGGACCGACTCACGATTAATCGGTGATAAATCGGAAATAAATCGATTTTTAAAATTTAATATAATATATTTGTAGGTATTATTTATAAATACTTAAAACATAGATAAAAAGATATTTAAACATAGTTATATCTCCATCATGTATATATCCTAATAGCATAATAAAAATTTAATAATAATAAGATCATAATACATAAATATTTGTATAAAATATAAATAAAAAGACAATTTTTTTGAATTTACATACATTCCTGGTATACATCATTTGTTCTTTAACAATAATATTTAACATAAACAAAATAAAGCATAAACTCATATTTTTTTTAATTAAAATCCCAACTTTTATTTTGAATTAAAAAAATAAAAAAATAAAAAAAAAACACGACCCGATTTTTGCCCCCGAAGTTTGACCCGCCTTAAAGGTTTGACCGCCTCGGACCACCTCAAACCGCCTCACAGTCAAAAAACTGATTTTTCAAACCTTTACATATTAAAATCGTAAAGGTTTTGAACCGCCTCCGCCTCGGAGACCGATTAATCGGCCGTCTCGACCGATTTTTAGAACACTTGATATATATATATATATATATATATATATATATATATATATATATATATAATCCCCTAAAATTTAGTGGATATAACATAAAAAAAAATCCATTAATAAACTATTATAAAAAGGGCCTTGCACCATCAACATTTTCCTCGTGCGCAAATACCGGTTTAATACAATATTTTATTAAATATATATCAAACAATTTATCCAGCCAGCCAGTTTTCGGAAACCGCTCTGGTATTTTCGTTTGTTTTTTTCACATTCGCTGCATCTATATATATATATATATATTGGCTTGAAAATTCATAGCTTTTTCACATTGTGGGATTTCATTAATTTGAAAAGAAAAAAAGAAAAAAAAAAAAAAGAAAGAATGGCTGCTGCTTCTGTGGGATGTGGTTCTGCGTCAGGTTCTTGGGTTCAATTTAAGGATAATTATTACTGTAATGGTAATAAGAATGGATTTAGGGTTTCTTGTGGTGGTGGTGATGCTGACGTGGGTGATCCTTACAAAACTCTGAGGATTAACCATGGCGCCTCTGAATCCGAGGTTAAGAAGGCGTTTAGGCAGCTTGCTCTTCAGGTTTTTTTTTTTTTTTTTTTAATCCTTAATTTTCTCGAATTATTTTACAACATTTCAAATTCTTGAAAAAAAAAATATTATCTGCTATATGTTTATATCTCATGATTCTTGAATTTCATTTCATTTGATTGTGAATTATCCCTCTTTTTTAATTGTATTTAATGCTTTTGTGGCTTATCGGGAGTTTGTTCTATGCTACACCACGATATGAACTTCGCCAAGTTATTTAAATTCATATATTGATTGGTATAAATAATGGGTTCAATTTTTTATTTTTTTATTTTTTTTATTTTTTTTATAATTTTGATTGCAGTATCATCCTGATGTCTGCAGGGGAAGCAATTGTGCTGTACAGTTTCACCAAATCAATGAAGCATATGATGTAAGTAAAAACTTCATCTTTTTTTTTTTTGTTTACTTACCCTTTTCTCCACTAGGTTTAATTTCGATCCCTTTTCACATCGGAAATCATCGCAGATCTTGTTCGATTGTCACTAAGGCCTCGTTTGGTTGCCAAGATAAGATTAAATAATCTAATGAAAACCCAATTATTTTATCAGGCACCGGGACGTCCAACAAAAAAACTACCTTAGGCAAGATAAGCCATGATAACATAACATTTGCAGGTAGACCCGAAAAGTTATTAGGGATACTGAACATTAAATGAAGTCAATTTATTTAGCTAATAATGGTTAATCCCCCCCCAACTAAATGAGGCTGTGTAGTCCAATTCTCCGATAAGCGTAAATAAGGGATGATAAGAATAATTTTTCTGGCATTCTGAAAGTTATTGGACTAACCAAATACGAGGCACTAACCTCTGTTTCTTCTCACGATGATGATATATTAGTAGCGGTTTCGTTCACGTGAAGAATTTACTAATAATTATTAGAGTATGAAAATGACTTAGAGGGTGGATTCTTGAATATGGACGTGACATGTATTTTGTTTTGGTTTAGTTACTTCTTGTAATGAAATACTTTCATGATAGGAATCATTTGCTTTGTCATTCTCTTATCTCATTAAAGTTGAGATCCATTAGCTGACGAGTCGTTTTCAATCACTCACCCCATCCCCTATACGAACAAGTGACGCGTGTTTATATTTATATTATTTATACGCACACTAACATATACGAGCGTTTAAGTATTGTGGAGGATTCTAATTCTCGATGGGATTTTTTTTCTTTTTGCAGATTGTAATGAGTAATTTACGAGGGGAAGTGAGCGCACCGCAAATGGAGACGTACGGCGATTGTGATACGGAAGAAGGGATAAGAGGAGTGAACGATCAAGATTGGGAGCTGTGGGAAGAGTGGATGGGATGGGAAGGTGCTGGGATTCGAGATTACTCTTCCCATATTAACCCTTACATTTAATGACATCTTCAAAATGAGTTTAATCAAGTGTTTGTATATATATATATATGTATATGTATATGTATGTATACATATGTTGTATTGAAGTTGTAAAGATCGTTGAGGTTGCTGTGTATAATGATTTTTAATTTTTTTATTTTCTTTTATTTTTGCTGTATATATTATGACATTGTTCCTTGGAAGGAGCACTGTTAATTGTATCTTGTGTATCAAACTATCAATGTTAATTATTAAATGGTTTTACTTAGTATATTTGAGTTTTTGGTTTTGTTTTTACATTCTCTTGTTATGTTGAGGCTTGTCTTGTTTTAATTGTTGTGCTTTGATTCCATACTTACCTCCTCTATAGAATTCAAGAAGTGTAAATGGAGAGAGAGGGGGTTTATATCGCCATCTTTGGACTCATCTTCGGTGCACCCGGTAGGGGTTTAAATGAGCCCGAGCCGGTTCTTGAGCTCGGTGAGCCGGTTCAATAAAAGCTCGAACTCAAACTCGAGATTGAGCTCGAGCTCATTCTTAGTTGTTCGTGAGCTCTCGAGTTGGCTCGCAAGTTTTTTTTTTCCTATTTTTTTTATTCATACTTTTAAATAATTAAAAAAGAAATATTACTGTATATTTCAATTTTTGTATTATAATTTATAATAATAAAATTCTAATAACATTTATAAAAATGAAAAAAAAATGCATAAGATGGCTCAGGCACAAGCTCGAGCTCGACATGCTCAGCTTACTCGAGCCCAAAAGAAATACTTGAAGTGCCCGAGCTCGTCAAAATGGATTTGAGCTCGAGCTCGAGCTCGAGCTCGGCTCGTTTACACCCCTAGCCCCCGGTACCTCATCACTCTAGGTCCTTTTTCCTTTTTTCAATAATGATGAATTTTATATTGTAGGCTGAAAATATTTTTTTTTTAATTTAATGAATTTTCTTGTTAGGGATAATTAGTGAAAACCCCCCAATTCATTTACTTATATTAAGGTGGATATAACCTCCTTTTCATTATTAGTGAAAACCCCTCACCTTATATTAAATAATATTTTTTTAATTAATATTATTTTAGACATTACTAATATACCTAATTTGCCCTATTATATCTAAAATAATTAAACATATTTCACGTTCTCTATTTCTCTTATTCTTCTTTCTCTTTTCTCTCTACATGTCGGCCGCCTCCAACTCTCCTCCATTTGTGTTTTGCCACCGCCTCCAACCATCTTCAATCTCTGCGCCGCCATCGTTATTCTCTTCTCCCAACGGCGTTCCTCCCTCCACCGACGCGAAAAGAAGATGGTCTTCACCCCTGGGATTCTCTCGTCAAGGACGGCGTTAGGGTTTTCGCTAGGGAGAAAGACGAGATTATGCAGCGGCGCTAGGGTTGATATTGCGTCTGAGATTTCAATACAGACCACCGCCCCATTGTTTCATTGTTGTTGTTCTTCTTCTTCTCTGATTTTTTTTTGAATCCAATTCTCGAATCTTAATTTTCTTAATTGGAGTTTTTGGTTGAATTCTTATATAGAAGGCTAATTTTGTGTTCAATCAATAGTATAATGTAGGTTTTGTTTTTGTTGAAATTATGTGGTGTTATTTACAGATTTATAGATATTTTCGTACAGCAATATAGTTGTTTTGGTACAGCAATATAGTTGTTTTGGTACAGCAATATAGTTGTTTTCGTACAGTAATATAGTTGTTTTCGTACAGCAATATAATTGTTTTCGTACAACAATATAGTTGTTTTCGTCAGCAATATAGTTGTTTTTATTACTTTTTAGTTGAATGTAATAGTTGATTTTGATAAATGAGAGTTGTTGGAGATATATATAGTTGTTTTAATCATATTGTTTTAATAACAGTTGTTTTAATAATAGTTGTTTTATTGAAATATAGTTGTTTTAAGTGAAGACAAAAAATATAGTAAAAAAATATTTTTAAAAAATATAATAAAAAAGTTAAAAAAAATATTTTTTTAAAATATTTTTTTTTAATAAGAAATAAATAAAAAAATGAAAATGAAAATTAAAATACAAAATAATAAAAAAATAAAAGTGTATCAAAGTAGTTTATAATAGGTAGTGAATAGAGGAAGGGTAAATTTGAGAATAAAAAAAGGATGGGTCTCCCACTAATAAAGAAAAATGAGCTGGATCCATCCTTATTAAAATAAAGATGGAGGGGGTTCTCACTAATAGTCCCAAAAAAAAACTATTTAATAAATTTCTTGGGCTCAAGTAGTTAAGTTTAAACGACATATAAAAGCATACAAATGGAGTAATGAATGTAAATGGAGACACAAGTGAAAAAAATAATAATAATACAAAGGAATTACGACCTTGCGGAAAATTCTTTTATTTTTAATTTATGCACATTTATTTTATCATAGAACAAATAAAGAATTAATAAGATAATTAAAACGAAAAAAAAAAAAAGGGTTTGATTGAGTCCCTACGCATGTGATTGAGGCGTTGCTTTTGATACGCATGAAGCTACATTCTCATGTTCAACTCTTGATTTTTTTTGCCCCACTTGCCATTATTCAAATAATATATTTTATTTAATAAATAAATGCATATTAAATCATTAAAAGAAATCAATAAGATACATGTCCCAAGGTAACCAAACCCATGCGCGACTTTTAAATCAGGGCCGCATCGGGACCTCGATTTTGAGTCTCCACAAGTTGAAATATATATATTTTACTATATTTAAACAGCTCCTATATATATTTACTTGTTCAATAATTACCGAATTCCGTAAACTTTTGATTTATATTAGTTTCATCAATATTTTAGTTATATTTTGTCCAAAGTTCTTAACTGTTAATCAAAAAATTATTATCCAGTCGTGCCAGTTAATTATAATGAATTAATGTACCTATTATTATAATATCTTAACATTCGCCTAGAGCCCCCAATTTCTCAAGAACGGTCATAGTGAAAATTAGAACTAATTTTTTTAATTATGAAATTATATTTTCCAATTCGATTTTGAAAAAAAAAAGCCCCTTAAAATGTGTAAAAGTAAGTAGAGAATTTTAATTTTTTTAAACTTAATTTTAAAACCCTTTTTTTTTAGTACCCTTGTCATTTTTATTATGTATTTTTATTATAGGTAAGTATAGGGCTGAGACTGGGCTGAGTCGGTCGATTACCAGCCTAAAACCCGACCTATTAGTCAAACTATTTTTGCTCAAATTTGAAAACCGTTGCCGACCCAACCTTTGTGGGTCGGTTGATGGTTGGCAACCGAATATTTGGTTCCGGAATGGGTCGGTTGATGGTTTATACCTGCCACCTAGTTCACTCAAAAAAAAATCAAAATTTGAAGTAAAAATATCCACATTTTACGTAATGTCACGGTGCGATCATCATTTATCAGTTCAAAATAATTAATAACAATTTAACGAAAAAATATAATAGGAAATTCAACGTAATTTCAAACATGCACAACAGTTTTTGTGGAGTTTTGTTTGTTTTTTATTTAAGCTTGAGCATAAAGAAATTGGTTGAAGATTTAGGTCAATTTTTTTTCCTTTGTTGATTGTTTTATAATTTAAAATACTAATTATTTTGATAATTTCAATAACCACTTAAGAAAATACGGCATTTATTTTATAATTTTAATAAAATTTTAATAGTATAGTTGGATAACCGATAATTATCGGTCAACCAACTTTTGATAATATTAGAAACCACCAACCGACCCATTATAGATGGGTTGGTTGAAATTTTCAACCCAATCCAATGGGTCGGTTAAAAATTGATTATCCGCCTAAAAATATGATCGGTAATGGGTCGGTTGGTGGATAAAAACCAACCCAGTCCCGGCCCTAGGTAAGTAAATATAAAAAAACAAATTTTTATTTATTTTCGATGGTTCCAATCCGAAATCCATTCAAACAGACGTTTTATAATTTTTTTTTCCCCAATAACCGTCACTTTTATAAAATATTTTTGATCAATTGTCTGTCATTTTATATTTTCAATACTATATTTAATGTACATTTTCATGTTTTAACATTATTAATGCAACTCTAGCTATTAATTCTATCTTATTGCTGCACGGACACTTCTAGAAGGTGAAGAGTCCCCGTATCCGACACCTGGACACTCGGACACGCCTGGATACGGCTCAGACACCCGTGTCGCGTCGTGTCGTAATTTCGCTAAAAGAAGGACACTCGTGTCGGACAATATCCGCAATTTTAAAAAAGTCCGACTCTTATATTTTAAAAGAGAAACCCCTAATAAAAAAAACAAGCATTTTCATTTGTGTATAATACACATTTCTTCTGTCTACTTTAGGAATCCACCCAAAAATCTAAAACTCTAGCGGCCAAGAACACAAACAACAAGGACGAGCGGTTCTCCTATGCGATTTGTCGACTTATAAATATGTTTTTCACAATTTATATATGTAGCAGTTATAGATCATTATATAATAATAATTATTTTAGTCATTTCTTTGAAATTTTACTAAAATAAAGTCACATTTATCGAACTTCTTAATACAAATTATTTAGGACATCCAATACAAAATAAAGTAAAAAGGTGGGGGAATAATAATAAATAATAAAAATAAATAGATAACTTTATTGGATCCGTTAAGTGACCGTTATTTGACACAAATCCTTTTCTGTAACTTTAAAAACTCCGAACGCCCATTGGCCGAAAGAAGAGCCATCACTTCAGTCAAAAAGTGACATTAGGCCTCCAAACAACAATGTCCACCTCAGCCCCTATCCTCCACCTCATCGCCGCCGTGCTCATCCTCATCCTCTCCTCCGCCGCCGCCACCGACCACATCGTCGGCGCCAACAGAGGCTGGAACCCCGGCATGAACTACACCCTCTGGGCCAACAACCACACCTTCTACGTCGGCGATCTCATATGTTCGTACTTATAAATTAAACTTCTGATATATTAATTTTTTTTTTAAAGATTACTTTAGGGTTTTGATTAATAAATAATTCTTGTGGGAATATATTATTATTATTTATGAGCAGCGTTCAGGTACCAGAAAACGCAGTACAACGTGTTCGAGGTGAACAAGACGGGTTACGACAACTGCACGACGGAGGGGAACACCGGCAACTGGAGCAGCGGAAAGGATTTCATTCTTCTCGATTTGGCCAAGAGGTATTACTTCATTTGTGGTACTGGTGGCTGCTCCAATGGAATGAAGGTTTCTGTTGTCGTTCACCCACTTCCTCCGCCGCCGGCTTCTTCTTCCAAGGGGGCGGAGCATTCTTCTGCCGCCGCCGCCGCGGTGGGGCTGCCCGGCGGTGGCCGTGGATTTGTTATGTGTGTATTCTACCTGTCTTTTTGGCTTGGATTTGGGTGGATCTAGTGATGCTGGTGTTTGTAGTGTGACGTGTGTGCGTGAACTTTGGATAAGCCTTTGTTTCTTTTTTGTTTTTTCCTTTCTTTTTTCCAATTGTTTCGTTTATTAATTTATTATAGGGAAAATTACAGTTTGCATCCCTTAAGTTTGCACCGATTTCATATTTAGTTCACACTTCACAATAAGTACATTTGGTCTTCGCGTTTCAATAATTTAACAGTTTTGGTTGTTTCCATCAATTTACCGTTGGTCTGTCAATTAAGACAGTGAGGGGCACACGCTTGATTTCGTTAGTTAAAATTGATAGAATAGACTAAAATTGTTAAATTTTTGAAAAATGGAGGACCAAATGTGTTTTTTGTAAAAATAAGGAATTAAATGTGAAATCAGTGCAAACTTGAGAGATGAAATTGTAATTTTCCCATTATATATATATATATATATATATATATATATATATATATATATATATATATATATATATATATAGTTTTGATTTGAGTTATTGTAGAGAACAAGTTCAAGTAGGAGAATATAAAGGCAAATTAAATGTCTAAAATATATGGTACAAACAAATTATATGGTTTACATTACGAAACACTTTATATTAGCTTGTCAAAATAGGTGCTTAAACGAATAGAGAGTCTAGCCAAACAAACGGTTGTCCAACGTTGCTTTTGAACTCAGTCTGATAATGATTGAGTCGAATTCAGACGAGTCTCGGTCGAGTTGAAAAAACAGTTTTAATATTGTGATAGCGACGTAAACAAGTTTTGTCGATAAGCTTACAGTGTTAGTGAAATGTATTATTTAATATTAATTTCTTCAATACGCCATCTCAAGTCCAGATGAATTACATTTGAAGCATTGCACTTGAAACATTTGAAATGAGTCGATGCGGCATTCAAACTCATGACCTTTTCAATTGGCCTTGCTCTGATACCATATCGAATGTTCAATTCTACCAAAAGTTCAAGCTGCTAGTGAAATGTATTATTTAATATTAATTTATCCAATAATATATGTATTTAGTGGATGATTATTTTTATAGATCTATGAGAAAATTACAGTTTTCATCCATCAAGTTTGCACCAATTTCACATTGTCTCATATGTTCACAAAAAACAAATTTGGTCCCTGATGTTTCAATATTAACGCTTTTGCTCATTTCCGACAATTTACCGTTAACCGTCAGTTAAACTTAAGTCATTGACGGGTACACACTCGATTCCGTTAGTTTTAACAGAAAATTGACGGAAATGACTAAATATATTGAATTTCTGAAACATGAGGGACCAAATGTGTTTTTGGGAACACGAGGGACCGAATATAAAATCAGTGCTAATGTGAGGGACGAAAACTGTATTTTTCCCGATCTATAATGATAAATCATCTGATATTTTTCCACAGGTGTAGAAAATTAGAAATATCGTCCACTGGGCTCGGTGATTAAGCTATGAGATTAGATTAATCATGGGCCTACGCTCATAATTAATCCCATATTTATATTTTGAGCTTCTTTGAACTTTAAAGTAGAGTTTAAGCTTATGGTTTTCGGCCCGAACCCATTAGAAACGCATGCATCCAATTAAATTCGACTATCAGTTATTTAATATGTAATATTTACTAAAAAATAAATATCATTGATTTTTAATATCTAATATCTGTTAGTAATATTTTATTAGTAATTCTTTTTTCTAATATTGAGATATATAAGATTATATAGTACAATATTTAATCGAAAAAAGATAACAAATAAAATTCGGCCGTCAGTGATCTTTGAAATGCTACAGGTTTATTTCACCAGTTGATTCTTTGAACCGTTGATTTATATAAATAATTACCATTAAGTACATATACACAGGTGTGTATGTTATTATATATAGATCAAAAGTTCAAAATTATATAGTATATTTTACCGGTGTCGCACCTACAAAACTGCCGTCACAGATGAATTATAAAGACTTTGTGTGGCGTGACAAGAAGATATCATATATCGATATGGTTGACAATATATCTACAATATAATTAATAATGAACAACTTATTAAATACAAAACAAAATTATGTTAACATTAGTTATAAAAAAAAGAAAAAACAAATTTCCAGCAAGGAGCTTGACTTCGTGGGCAAATAGGATATAGTTTGAGAAATATAAATTTTATATTAGATTGTGAAATAATTAAATTACTAAAATTTGAATCGTGTACGATTTTCTTTGATAATTATTCCGATTCGAGACAATTATCAATCAATAAAATTTCGAACCTACAATAAAATTCCACGAGAAATGTTTTTTTAAGAGCTATATTTTCGACAACAAACGGTAGTTAGAACCTATGGATAATTTAAAACAAATTCAAGAAATGAAGACTTTAGCTATTTAATGCATAACTTATAAGTCTCTGAAATAAAAGATATTTAATTGAATTTAAAAAAATGATTTATATTAATTATTAAATAATTAAATCAGATAAGAGTTTATTAACATCAATGTCAAACCAAAGGACATTTGTTTGTTTATATTAATACATGTATTAATTATATATTACAACTTGCTTGTAATATTACATTACACAGGGAAATTGATTGTTTTTATTTATTTATTTTTATTTACTACTAATGATTATTCACATTCAGATACTAGTATTAAGCTAATTTCCCCTTTCCAAAATAACCAATTAACTAATTTTTTTAGTACATGGTTTTTGATGGAGTTGAGGTGGACCATGTTGTAATAAATACATCTTAACTACTTATTTGAAATATTAAATAGAGCCAAGTTCAACTGTATTTCAAATTTCTTGTCCCTTTCATTTTGACAATGCTTGAACTTATAAACCAATTCAACATTTGTTTTTTGTGGCCAAAGACTTGCAATATTACTTTTGCTTGACTTGTAAAAGTCTTCCAATTCTTGATTCTAGGAGAAGAAATTCAATAAGGGTTCACCAATTTTTGATGAAGATTTATGTCCTAAGTTTCGGTGACATCGGGTCTTGTTTATTCCAAGCTATACTCGATGAATTTCATCGAGTATTCGTTTTTGAACGAGAGGAATTTTATTGGAGAACGAGAATTTTAGTTACTTAAATCAAGTGATTCTTTTAAATCCTATTTGCACGAGTAAGAAGATATTAAACACACGATGATATTCAATATAGTGAATTTTGTGTAGGAAATCGACTCGAAAAAGAATCCCAATTGTATTTACCTCAAATTACAAGACAAGGAAAACACTAATCAATCACCCTAATTTACATACAACACCACCACCACTAATCACACCCTTCTTGGTTAAATTTTACAATAACAAAAAATAAAATAAAGAAGCTAATCACCATTGCTCTTATGTTTTCGTCTCGACCGGTTAGGAATTTTGGAAGGCGGAGGAGAAGGCGAAAACTCAAACGGAAGTGGCGGAATGTCCATTTCGCCCTTCAAGATCTTGACGACGTCACCAATATCCGGTCTCAACTCGGGCATCTTCTTCAAGCAAGCGAGCGCCAAATTAATGCACAAACTCGCTTGCTCCTTATCATACTCGTCTCCCAATCTCTCATCCACTAGTTCTAGAACATTCCCCGAGTGAGCTAAGATTCTAGACCAACTTATCAAGTTCGCCTTCTCGAGCTTTATCGGTGAAGAAAGTACGTGCAGAGGCCTTCTCCCGGAAATAACAACGAGGATCAAAACACCCAAGCTATAAATATCGGCCTTCTCCATTAGGTAGCCCAATCCACCGTACTCCGGTGCAACGTAACACAATGTACCTCGCATGCTCGTAGTGCTACTTAATTCCCGACTAAAGAGATCCCCGCTCCACATATCGCTCCCCATCGATCGAGAGTTATTCTTCTTATTATTCTTCTTCCAACCTTTTCGGAAACTAAACTCCATGTTTTGATCATCCGTTTCAAATTTTCTCCTTTTCTTGAACTCGAAGCATTTTCCTAAACCGAAATGAGGTACTATCTTTGACCTCTCCTTATTTCTCCATACTTTAAGCCTATTTGCCTTATTGCCCTTCTTGCTTATTTTCTCACGCTCGTCCATTTGCTCTTCTTTCCACCACTCGTGCATCTTTCGGTGCCTTTTAGCGTCGCAAACTTCTGACTTCTTGGAATCTTCTTGTTCGATATTAGGACATTCGAATCGAGGTTCTTGCATAGGATTCTCACTAACTTCCTCGAATTTATCCAATTGTCTTGAATTATCGAGGACGATTTTCTCATGAGGAGTAATCGGCCCTTTTTCTTCATCCCAATTATCAAGATTAGCCGAAGCGCAGATTTGACTACCGATCCACTCCGTAACGTAATCTTTACTGCACAATTCACCGCTCCCATCTTGCCTCCACCACCAATCTTTCCCCCATTGTTTGGCTCGACTATCAGCATTAGTATTACTATTAGTATTACCATCATCGCCAACATTCAAACTCAACTCCTTACTATGATCGACGCTACTCAACTCATCGTCGTACGGCACAAACTTACTATTCCAACCCCCGTTTTCATTCTCCCCGGGCAACAACTCCTTCCCCTTCAAATTTAAAGAAGCGATGGGCAACACTCCCATCACATTGTGGTAAACTTTACAACCGTTCCTCGACGAAGCGGAAGCTTGCAAAGCCGACGCGAAATCCACCTCGTCGTTCTCGTGACAACTCTCCATAGGGGTGCCGATTGCAGGAGGGGTCCCGTTCGAGCTCCTAAAAATTTCTTGACTCTTGCCCAAATCCTGACTGAATAAATTGTCAACCCCAATTTCGCAGTCGAGCTTCAACCTCGACAGGCCGAAATCCGAAAGCTTCGCACCGAAATTGGAATCGAGCAGCACATTGCTCGGCTTGACATCGCCGTGAATCACCGGCGGATCGCATTCGAGGTGCAAGAAAGACAGTGCTTTTGCAACATCGAGAATTATGCAGAACCTTCTAGACCAATTCAGCCTCAAATTATTACAGCCCACATCGTTGTTGTTATTATTCGAATCGAAGAACAAAGATTCTTGCAAACTTCTGTTGGGCATATACTCATACACCACGAGCCTCTTGTTTTTCTCCACGCAGAATCCCAGTAGGGTAACAACAAGGGGGCAGGGTTTGTTCAGCCCGCCGAGAATCTTCAACTCGTTCTGGAACTCGTGCTCGCACTGCAGAGAATTCGGGTCGAGGAGCTTGACGGCGACGAGTTTTCCGTCCTTGAGAATGCCGCGGAAAACGGCGCCGGAGCCGCCTTTTCCGATGGAATTCGCGGCGGTGAAGTTGTGGGTGGCGTTCTTGAGCTCCCTGTAGGTGAATCTCTGCAGCTTGTTCAGCGGCGAGGCGGCGGCGTCGAATGAAAATGGGCTGGTCCGCGACCGGCGAACCAGAGAATACCAGAGGTAGTGAAGAAAATACAGAACGGCGGCGAGTACGATGAGCGAAGCGGAGATGGTGATTGAGAGTAGAACTACGGTTGTTTTGGGTCTTGAATCCATTTTTTTTTCCTCTTTGATTTGTTTTTTGGTTGTGTTTCTGGTTTGATTTGGGGTTTGATAAAACAACAACAAAGATATAGTATTATATTAATGTAATAATTTGTTTATGTTAATCATGTTTTACTTTTGTCTAATTGAAGAGGAAGTGGGGCCCAGTGGAGCTTTTGACTAAAGAGAGGATTTTGCGGTGTGAAGTGTGAAGAAGGGAAAGAAAATTGGAGGGAGAATTTTAAGGTGGTGGTGGTGGATAATGCGTTACAGTGATCACTGTTGATGATGACGACGACACTATTTTATTTTGGGCTAAATACACTTTGCACCCTGAAGTATAGCTCATGTAACACTTACCCCTTAAAGTATCATTTGTAACACTTACCCCCCTCAAGCACAATTTAATTTGTATTTTAAATTTTAACACCTTAAAAAAAATATTTTATTGAAAGGAATAACTAAAAGAATAATTAAATTATACAACTAAAAATATCTGTTGAAAAATACAATATTTCAAAATTTAAAAATATTATCTTGCGTTGGATACTTATTCAATAAATAACATTTAATTGTTGTTGGACCAATTAATCAAAAATAATCTATCAATAAATTTTAAGAAATCAATGCATAACTAATAGAAATCGTAAGTATTTAAATTTATTTTAGTTCATTAATTTTTTTAAATATGTTTTCATTCATTATTACCCAATATATATTACTTTTTAATTTTTTTTCAATAATTAATTTTAGTTACTTTCCAATTTTCTATGAACCGTTAATTATTAGATTGTTATGTTTATTATTTTTTAAATTTTAAAATATAAAATAATTGATGTGGAGGGGGGTAAGTGTTACAAATGATACTTTAAGGGGGTAAGTGTTACATGAGCTATACTTCAGGGGTGCAAAGTGTATTTAGCCCTTTTATTTTTTCCTTTGCTTATTTCGATGACTCATAATTTTAATATTTTATTATATATGGCTTAATTCTATTTTGCACCTTAAAATCTAACATTTTGGCACTTTCCACCAACTAAAACGTTTAATAGCACTTTGCACTCTCGAAACACCGTAAATCATGCATAATACACCCCGGACAAATTTTAAATCTAATGAAAATAATTTAATATTTTTAGGATGTTAAATGTTATTTTTTTTTTATATTATTCAATCCTTTTGAAACAAGTAAGTGCAAAAATACATCTCATAGGTATATTTAATAAATATTGTACAATATGTTGGAGATTGAAGAAAATAACAATTTAATTTATTATTTTACACTCTGGAAATAAATAACAACCAATAATAATTGAAATTACCCTCACTAAGTTATAAATATTCAATTAAGGTGTATTGTCACTATTGTGAATATTTTATTGTATTTTGATAGTGCAATGTGATATTAATTATTTTGGAGGGTGTAAATTGCCAAAATGCTATATTTTAAGAGTGCCAAGTGGAATTAAACTTTTTATACATACTCACTTCATTAACGCTTTGAAATTTAAGCAAATTATAACGGAATTTTCAATTTTCGTTGATTTAGTTTAAAATTATTTAATTTTGGAAAATTAATTTTCATTGTGAATTCCAAAATTTGTGGTAACTTTTAATTGAAATTGAAATCATTATTGGAATTTGATTTTCGATCCGAAAATTAACTTCCAAAATTATTTCGAAAATTTTATTCTTTTCCGAAAATATGTCAATGATATATTTTATAATATAGTTTGATAAACTAATAGACTATTCAATTTATGTAAAATATGTTATTTAATTTGAACTCTCATATAAAATTGAGTTTTTAACAGTATTGAACCGATTGTTCGATACTATTCAATTGCGTCTTTTAAAATACTAACTTATAATTATTATTTATCCAACTGAAATATAATAATTAGATTGATCCGTCAACCATAGTAAGATAATTGTTATTTTGGTACATAAAAGGAATATACACCCATATATATTATTATTCATTTAAATCAAATCTGTAAAAAGATCGAATACACATTGAAAAAACTTTTGGAGCAATATAGCCAATTGTCAATCAGAACTGTTGATAATATATCATGATGCTTTACACTATTTATCTATATATAATAACATACATATGTGTGTGTGCTTAGTGAGAAGTTATTTATGTAGATACAGGTGTAGAATCTCATAGGTCGAAGTACATAGACAAAATTACACGTATAATATCAATATTCTTCCGATTTCCATCGACTACGATCCACACAAAAAAAAATCACGTTTCCAAAACTTTGATTTCCAGTTTTTTTCGATTTTTTTGAAATAAGATTGCAATTAATTCTTTCACTTTTGAAAAATTAGTTCTTTTTTTTTTGTCTTTCTCTGAAAGTACTAATTATGATATGATCCTTCGTTTTTTCGCCCCGTGTTACGTTTCGAACTCTTGATAATGCACAAGTAATATTCTTTTTATAGTTATAAAATGAAGGAAATATTTTTTAGGCATATATTGGAGGAAACTTGAAAGAGCATCTTTTATTTGTCTCTTCACTATATAACTATTATTGACCAAAAAAAAAAAAAAAGAGGCCAAAGAGAAAAGATAAGTGATAAAGTTACAATTCATCATTCCATTGCTTAGATTGAAGAAATGAAAAGGAAGGCTTAATCATTAAGAATAAATTAAAGGCTTCAAAACTGAGGTCCAGCAAAATAAAATATCCAAAATTATATAATTTGTGAAAATCAAGTTTTTTTAATATACCAATTAATATTCAATTATAAACTTTAATATTATTCAATACATACTTTATACACCCTCATATTTGTACAAACAATTGTGTGTAAATTGTAATTGTAAAATAATATGCTATTTGATGTAGCATGTACAAATCATTTTCCTTTTCTATTTCTCGTTTTTATCAATAACATAAAAAAAAAAAAAAAGGTTCTTTCTGTTATGGATGTTCATTTCTTTTTAATGAACTATTTGATAAAATCAGCATGATAAAAGTAAAGCAGTATGATTGGTTTGAAAATCCAATTCAATCAAACATTGTGACTTAAATTGAATAACATTAATAGTTAAGTTAATGTGGCCAATCCCACGTGGTAATAAGTAGTACAATAACAAGTTTTCTAAGAGATGATTTAACGGTTAGAGTAACTGAGTTTGTGCCAATCAATCAAAATTCGAATTTATTTATCAACAGTCGCTAGGTTGAGCTTGTCACATATAGTTAGCTAAATATAATTTACGTATCTGGTATAATTTACAAGTTAATAAAAAAGGGTAATACAAAAAAAAAAAAAGTATCTTTATTAACTTTGTCAAAAGGGTGTTTCCTAAAGTTCAAGACTTTTGAACTTACCCAAATTGTATTAATACATTAAACAATATGATTCCACAAATCGAAGAAATGACTTTACCTCTAGTTTGTAAGTTAGGTTAAAATTGGTGTTAGTTTCAATTTCTACACATTTATAACACAATTTAAGTGTAAACAAAACATGAAATGGAGAAGAAAGAAATACTAACAGTCAAAATTTATGTATAGATACCGCAATTGTAAATGTTAAAAGTATCAAAATTATTTTTTCATGAGTAAGATATGTAATATGTAATTAAAAAACATAGTATTAAAATAAATCAAAATTTGGATATTTTTGGAAATTAAATGTGGCCAAAAAAATCGAAAATCCCAAAAATTCGACATCTATTTCCAATTCCAATTAAAAAATATTCGAAAATTTTGAAAATTAGAATAAAAAAAGTGTCCTAAACTTAGAAAGTTTGATATCAATATTGGTGGAAATTAAGAATTTTGTTCTAATTAACTTTCACCCCTACCCGTTGTCGTGCATTGAATCTCCAAAAAGCATAAACTACATTACGTAAATCATGTACGACGAATTCAACGTAAAAAAATATTAGGCGTGCAAGCAATTCAAGAACGCTCGTTTTTATCAATACTAAAGAAGTAGAGAAAGCAATGTTGCAAAGAGCAAAATGCTTTTGTGCTAATGATAATGGAAACAAAAGAACATGGATTGTTAGATGGAGGTGGGACCCACTCCATCAAACACACAATTAAAAGTGTATATTTGAGCATGGATTCTATAACGTTCTTATAACTTTTAACTTTTTTTTTCATGATAAATCACTATCTAATAAAAACAAAATCACTTATTCACCAATGCTGCACAATTTTCACCTTTTTTTCGTTTGTTGTGTTGTGTAATATAGATATAATAACATTTATACAATAATTTTTGTTTTCATTTTTTCATTGATCTTTAAATTGAAGAAGCTTGGAAAAGAAAGGAACATTTATTTGTTCGTTATCTTTCCAATTCGGTTTTGGTTAGTTTTCGATTCAAGAGTAAGTACTATATATTTAGTTAGTACAAACCAAAAAAAACAAAAACAAATTACATTTATTTTCACAAACTAACTAAGTGCAACGAAAATATAAAATCTTCAATTTCATAGGATTTCACATAATATTGAGACCGACGGATATATTAATCCTAAATAGGTAGGATAACTACTACTACTACTGGGTCTAGTTTGGTTGTTAAGATAAGATTAGTCAAGCTAACATTAAATAATTTAATGAAATTCAATTATCTTATTAGAACTCGGGACATTCAGCAAAAAAAATTCTAAAAGGCAAGATAAAGTATGGCATAATATTTTCGTGTCGACCCGAAAAATTATTGATTGCACCAAATATCAAACAAAGTCCAACTATTTAGTTAATCATGTATAATCTCTCCAACAAAATCAGACCTTATTAGACACTAAATTTACAATGTTGACTTTAACTTTTATCACATTTTTTTGCTGTGTTTTTAGTCATTGTAGTGGATTTAAAAAAAAAAAAAAATTCACAAATTGATTTAAAAGATCATTAAATTTAATGCAATGGGAATGTACATGTTTACTATTAAGTATTACAGTTTAGCATTAAACTGATTTATATAGGAGTAGTTGTTAAGATTAATGGGGTTGGTGAGAATGATTTATATACGTACACATACCATGTTTATTGGTGAACATGTGGATGAGATTGGATCTTATGATTGTTGTTAAGGTAGTGCTCTCCCATGATCTTTCAATAATTACATTCATGCCCTTCATTTTTTTTCGATTTTTTTTAAAGTGCAATGGCATATACTATGGCTTTTTACATCATGTTGATGGCTATTAAATCTATCTTATTGCAATTTATTTCCCAATGTATATTCATGCTACCTTATATTCAAGACAAGTTGAAGGTTTATACTATTTATTTTCCAATATATATTCATACTATCTTAATTCAAGATAGTATGGAATGAGTAGCTATTCTTCTTTATACTCGTATGATTTGAAGACTATTGTACAATCATAGAGTTTATCTATTGAAGGGGTCAGTTTAGCATTTGGGTCGAACTTCCCATATTGAGCTTATTAATTACAGGTAAAACATACGGGTCGAAAGAGATTTATTGGGTCCACCGACCAAATACGCGTAAAAAACAAAATCTCTTTATAAGTTTGCCTGAAGAAAGTTCTGCAGTACCAAACTCGCCAAACGATGTTCCTGGGATATGAGGGTAAAGATCTTGCCAGCTCATCCGAACATGCAAGAGACGATGGAGGGGGTAGGTAGCGAGCTAAAGGAGAGTCGTTGGAAGAAAAAGATTTGGAAATATTCTTCCTAACAAATAATGAAAGCATGTAAATTAGAAATAGTAATTGAGTAATCAATGTAAATCTCGATGAATATAGATGGTTATTTTTATGTTACACCCGGTGAAGATTACAACGAGTGATTTTTTACCGTTGATCTACACACATCAATGTGGGTGTGAGTGTATTTGTGTGTGTATGAATTGTAAAGATCTACCCGGTGTAGCATAGAATAGACCGATATAGAGTAAAATAGAAAATAGCCACGCACAATATTATGTATAAACGAATGTACCAAATCCTTTTAGACGACACAATTAGAATCAATAATACAATTTGATACTTTCTCTCGAGTCTCTCTCTCTTTTATCGTTGGTATACCGTTTTGTTCATCACCACCGGGCTAAAACCCGGTGATAGGCGACTTTCCAGCGTTCGAGAGAGTTGGGCTTGAAGAAGGGTTTTGAGGGTGCAAATAATGCACAATCAAGTATAAAATATTACTAGTACTCTTTCTTTCTTTTGAATTTTTTCGAAATTAATTTAAGAAATCAAGAATAGACCGGAATACAAAAAATCGGAAAATTAAAAAAGTTGGAATTCTGTATGTATTCCAATTCCAATCCCAATATAATGTTAAAAAAAATAGAAATTTTGAATTCTTAATGAAATATATTTTTTCCCTAAATCAAACTTGGCAGAAATCGGAAATTTCGTTACAATTAGCCCCCCAATTCACCAACAAGCTTGAGAAAAATACTTGGGCCGACTAACCCATTACCCAAACCAACCCGAAATATGAATGAAGCCCAATTACCACATTAGAAAACCAAATCCGACACTCTTTTCTCTACAGTGAATCTACTGTCTACACTCTACAGCAGCTGCTCAAACTCTTGGATTCTTGCAGAAAGAGAAGAAAGACGAAGAAAAATGGGGTTATTGGCATTGCTGGGCGTGATATCGCCATTCCCATTTTACTATTTTCTTTGGAATAACCCACAGTCATGGGTCGATCTGTGCGGGAGAGGCCGTGATCCGTGCAGAGTGATGGCGCTGGTGTCGCATTTCTTCAAGCTCCTCCAATTCATATCGCTCTTCTCCGTCGCCACGCTTTTCTGGCCGCCGACTATCTTCTTTTGGCCGCTCTTCCTTTTTGGCCAGTTTCTCAATTTCAGGTTTGTTACCCCCACACCTTTTTCTTGTATGCTATGTGTTTGATGAATTGCTCCAGTGAAAATTTCTGAAATTTCTAATTGTTAATGAAGTTCATGGTTTTGTGGATGATTTGGGGTTCTGAATTTTGGTGAGTTTTGGTTATAGCCGAGTGGATTTGTTTCTATATGGAGGTGGAGATTTGATGCGTTCGTCGACTTTTTTTTGTTTTTTAGCATTGGTAATTTGCTTGTTGTTCTAAATAATTCTTGATTGCTTTTCGATGATGCGATTTCTCGAATGATGATAATCGTTGGCTTATTTACATTTATGCAGTTGAATCTCATTTGGTATTTTTCCGTCATCCGATCATAAACCCGGAACAATTAACCATGTTTTGCATAAATTTAGTTCCTTTTTTTCCAACAAAATTCTCAACTTTCACATTTATGCAGTTGAGAAAAATTACTTGAAAATGTCACAGTTATTGGACTTGTAATATCAAAATTACCCTTCCCTACTGAAAACCGACAATGCCTCGAGCAATATTTTCGATTTCCAAAGGAAAGTTGAGTAGAAAAGAACTTTATTTTTGTACCCCTATACTTTCACGTTATAAAATACGATAATTGCGATTTCTGATGCAGAGTATACCAGCTGCTTGGAGAGCCGGGAACTTATTACGGTGTCCGTTTCGGGAAGAACATTCCATGGGTAACGGAGTTCCCGTTTGGAACAATAAAAGATCCTCAGTATGTGGGAAGCATTATGAGTCTTCTTGCTTGTCTTCCTTTTGTTCCTCTCGTGTACATTATGCTATGGGTTTTAGGTTACGTTTTTATGATCAAAGTCGAATCGCATGAAGACCCATCTACGCGTGCGAAACCGCTCCTATCTTGAGTTTCTAGAAACTTCCAGTAACTTCCAGAAGTTTCTGGTTTCGCCCCATTCCGTTTGTCCGGGGCTTAGTTTTAGCAGGCGTACTTAATAAGGATGATGTTGTAATTCTTGGTGCATGTTATGTTGTTGTAGCTTTAATTGGATAGTGCTAACGTTGGAATACAAAAGAAAAATTAATAGAATGATGCTTTTTGATTATAACATGCATATGTATCTATTTACACTCGTTACCGATTATGATAAAGGTTACGTAGATTTTACGTTTGATGAAATGTATCGGATGATTTTATTTTGTAGATTTATTTACACATGGTTTACAAACGTATATATGTGGCTCCGTGGATAGTTATAAATATACGTGTATAGTGAAATCTTACCTGATAAAGTTTACCGAACAAACTAATAAAAATAGATGGATTGAACTCGAAATTGACACGTCCAATGGTTACAATTTTTCTTTTTATTTTCACAGTAGCATTAATTTTTAGAGTAATATTACAATGTTGCCTTGTTATTATACTTTTGACCACATCATAGTATCATCATTTTGCTCCTGTGAACAATCTTGAAAGAATCAATGGCAACGAATTCATAGTAAATAATTAAAACATAAATGTAATGCGGAGTATGAGAACGCTTTAACAAAACATGCATCGAAATAATTGTAAAAGCACATAATTTAAATATTCATAGGTATTTACTTATGGACTGCCTTCAAAGGCGAAATATATACTTATATAAACAATATTACAAGAATAAAAAAGAAAAGAAATTAACAATCTTCTATAATATGAGTGTATCTTACACTCATCCTTCGTACTATCAAATCTAACTTTTTCAACACGAACTATTAGATCTCCAGACGTACAAACTATGTAATTAATATGAGTACCTACAACATATTCTAAAAGAGATATATAAATAACTCATATAAACATCCACTATGTGCACATGTTTCTTCTTCTTCCCAAATCTAACTTTTTTCTTCTAAAATCCATTGTAAAAACGGGCAATGTGAATCGGTGTTTACAGACTGCAGTACACATCCACTATGTGCAGATGGTAAGCAATCAACCAAGCACTAAGATAATAGATTAGTGGTTTTGCTACTAAAATAAATAATCAACCATTAATCCAATATTAATAACCATTTAACCCATGATCTAAATTATATTTTTGGAAAGTTAAAACATGTGGACTAATTCGTCCAGTATTTTCATTTTATGAGCCAAACCAAAGTTAGATGAAAAACATCCAAAGTATTCATATTTTAAAATGACATATAACATGAAATAAGAAAGAAAATTTGAAATAGAATGTTAATTAGAAATTGATTGTAAAATAGAATATTATGATATAATTAATTGCCATTGAATTATAAGAAATAGTTTTCGTCCCACATTCTATTTTTAATGCAAAGTATAAATACAAGCAATTAAGAAAGTGTGGCGTAAGCATTTAAAGAGTTAGTTTTCTGCTCACTTCACAGTTGACACTACCCAAATGCACCCACCTACTCTTTTATTTTTCTTTCTCTCTCTAAAAACATCCATAATTGTCCGCCGTTGATCCACCGCCGCCGCAATCATTGCTCCTTCGCCGGAAGGGCCCGCGCCACCACCTCACGCACTCACGACCGCCGTCTCTTCCCCTTCTACATCTCAATCGAAATGCATTTCTCTTTTCTCTCTCTAGAATACTAATCCCCTACGCGACAATGCATTTCACAAACCTCACTCAGAAAGCCCTAATCTGGTTCCCGCAATGCTCGCACTGAAATTCCGCTTCTGTACTAGACTGTAGGAAACCCTAACTCCGTTAGTAATGTCCGGACCTCCGTTGGTGAAATCGATGAATTTCGCCGAACCTGAGGCTCGACCGGTGCTTGGACCGGCAGGGAATAAAGCCAGATCCGTCGAATTGCGGAAGCCGATTCTCAAGCAGAAGAGTGAAAAGACGCAAAAGCCGCTGGATGCCGATGAGGCCAAGGGGAATACGGCTCCTTCTCCGGCGGCATTTCTGTCACCGGAAATGAAAACGGAGAAAATCCCGTCGCCGGTGGGTTTTAAGAAGAACGCTAGCAGTGCTGCGTCTATTCTGAGACAGCGTCAGCCGAATTTGTCGATGAATGCTTCCTGTTCTTCAGATGCTTCGACGGACTCCTCGCATAGCAGGGCGTCGACGGGGAGACTTTTACGGCGGAGTGCGACTTTCACGCCGCCTCTAAGGAGGAAGCATCAATGCAGCCCGAAGGGCGAGAGAATCGAGATGATCGAGGGGAATGGGAAAAATGTTGGAAGTGAGAGTGATGGTGTAGTGTTGGATGGTTCTTTGGTTAAGAAAAGGTGTGCTTGGGTGACTTCAAATACTGGTACGTTTCTTCATGCATCATGGATTTGTAGTGATGATTATATATCTAATAAATGCTTAGTTATTATGTATGTGTTTGGTTTCACAATAGGCTTATTTGGAATTTGTTGTTTCTATTGTGATATGAATTGGAAATGGATTTGCCTTCAATTTTGCTACTTTGGTGCTTGGGATTCATAATCTATCATGGATTCTTCTTACTGGTTAGCTTGTAGGTCATGACATTTCTTGATTGGTTACTTACGAGTAGGAACTGCACTCATGAATCCACCTATGATGATAGCGTTTTCGAATTCCCGTACTTGGTTGGTGTTGTATCTAAAGCTCTTGTAGTCCAGTGTAATCTTTGTTAGTTTCTTAAGTTGTCTAATTGATTAATACCTAAGATATGATCTTTGTCCGTTACGATGAAATGGATATTTTTTGACTTTCCAAGAAACAATGTGGTTGTACTCGAATGTTCCCGTTGAAGTATCCGTACCTAGTAATAATAAAAGGAAAACCGGCATTTATTATATGAGACAGATAAGGGAGTAGGTATAGTCACCCGTAAATTTCTCGCAAATGTTCCTTCCATGGAATCTTAAGTAATTGAATGGATAAACATTCTTCACAAGCATAACCACATATGAATTAAGATGGTTTCTAGTTGGAGATGCAATTGCAAATTTTAGCTTTACGTGAGTATGACGTTTTATCGTAGGTTTTCGAGTGGATGACGTTTGTTCCTAGGTTAGTACTTCCTGTTATACCTATTACATTTAATAAATATAAGTGCGCTTACGTAATGAGATAGCATATTAAACCAACAAACAGCCAGTAGCCGGAATATTGAGTTTTAATGATCTGCGAAAAAGGACAAGACGAAAGCGAGTACGCAGAGAGAACCTTATGAAATGTCGTCTTCTATAATGGAGATACTGTTTAACTCTCTTGATGATAAACTGTGCTTTCCCATCTAGTGTTGTTATTTTCGCTATTGGTCCATCTTTTGTGCTTAATAATATTGCTAAATGCCTATATATCAACTTCTCTAATTCCTTGTGCTGATTGGTTTTCTTTCCAAAAAAAGATCCATTATATGCTGCATTCCATGATGAAGAATGGGGACTTCCTGTGCATGACGACAAGTACGTAATTCAGTTCCAGACTTAAATTAGCAGGCAACTACTTTGCGATTTTCTCATTTTTCATTTGTCTACGTCCGACATTTTGCAGAAAACTTTTCGAACTTCTTAGCCTTTCTACTGCATTGGCCGAACTATCATGGCCTGTTATTCTTAGCAAGAGGTCTATATTCAGGTAACTTAGTGTTTACTGTTTTTTTTACGATTGTAGACGAAATAAATACCACAGTTACGCACAATCCGCAAGCTTTTCAGGATGCTAATTTATTGTGCAAGTGTTGGACAGAGATGTATTCCTGGACTTCGATCCAGCCGCTGTGTCAAAATTAAATGACAAGAAAATTGCAACGCCAGGAAGTCCTGCCAGCTCTCTTCTGTCTGAACAAAAGCTGCGAGCAATTGTTGAAAATGCACGTCAAATTTGTAAGGTATGAATGGAACTTTTTTCTTGTATTGACTTTTGTTATCGCTTGTATTTAATGGAATTCCAGATTGCATTCATAATCATAGTTTTACTGAATATACTGTTTATACTATTATATTCATCACTCATTTCGAGGGGAAGCGAAAAAGGAAAAATTACAATTTCATAATAGGGTATTTCTTATGTTCCTAATTTCGTCCCATTTACAATCTCGTTTTACTCTCTTCAATTTTTTTCTTACCAAAACAAAAACAAAACCGACACAACTCAGTGCTGTAAACGAGACATTCCAAAAGTAATAAACAGTCTGATGTCAATGTACTTTGCTATGTGTGCAGATAATAGACGAGCTTGGGTCTTTCGACAAATATATTTGGGGTTTCGTCAACTACAAGCCCATTGCTGGTAATTTCCGCTATTCTCGGCAAGTCCCAATCAAGACATCAAAAGCAGACACCATAAGCAAAGACCTTGTTAGAAGAGGATTCCGAGGAGTGGGGCCCACGGTTGTCTACTCGTTCATGCAAGTAGCTGGAATAACAAACGATCACCTCATCAATTGTTTCAGATATCAGGATTGCATAATCGCTGGCGATCTAATTCTAAGGGATAATAATAATAATAATTGGAGCATTGCATCCAAGAATGAAGTAAACTTGGCTGAAGATTTCTCGGAATTGGACTTAGCCACAGAAATCGACGATTTAAATTTGTCAAGGTAGTAATTTGTGGGCATTATTAACTTTTGACGATCTGTGTAATCGTATTACGTGACGGGCTTAACTCTTAATGCTGGCTGAAGTTCTATGTACAAATCGTTATAATTATGTTTTGTTCGTTTTTTCGTGTAGATTGTTTTATAACAGCTTTAGAGGTGTAGAGTGTAGAGAATGATGATATGCAAAAAGGATTAAATCACTCTTCTTGATGAGCTTCTTCTATGTATACATCAATCATCATCATATCTTTTAGGGTAAATTACTGCCACCCCCTGAGGCGAGGTCAAATTGTGGAAAAACCCCTCATGTTTAGGTAACTACAACCACACCCCTCAACTATAAATCTTCTTACACGTCCACCATTATAGTGTCAAATTTAGTCGAACCTTGTACGTGGAATATTCTCCAGATTTAGCATCTGAAGCAGTTGCTCTTTTCGTTTCCATCTTTGTTTTTTTCAATTATTTTTTTTAAATTGTTAAAATTCGTATTCATGTATAATTTGAATGCTACAGTGAAAAGAAATAGAAACATGGACAATACCATATAAACAACTGATATAATAAACAAGTGAATCAGCTAGCAGAAGATCATCACAATTTCTTTTAATCTCAACAAGAATGAACCCATTTCACAAATAAAAATCTACTCTCGACCAATTTCCGATCTAGTATCACTCATTTCCGTACAATTTCCGACGTTTTCCCCCATTTGGTGTGGTTCTAGTTAAGAATAGTAATACTAATACAAAATCAAATATATATACAATTGCCGTTTCTTCTTTTTGGCTTGTCCTCCAGTATATGCTACATCCGGTGAACTTCACCAGGTGAGATTTGTGTGTAGATTTTTAATCACTAAAATTACCCGACGACGTATTTCACCATGTGTAGCATCTTTGAGACATATGCTATCCGATTATTATTTAGCTGAAGAAAGAAACTTGCCGGAAATAGCTGCGGCCAAAGCGGCTTTGAAATTAGGATCTTTAGTTAAAGTAGAAGCCATTTGCTCCACAAGGTAGTGTTGAAGTTGTTGTTGTTGTTGCGGTGACGAGTCAATTTTGCCCTTTGAATTTGAACTTCTTGCATCTTCTTTGCTTTGCTTTGTCTTTTTTGCAAGATTATCAACAACACTAATCGACGGTGCGGTTGAGCTTAGAGAAGTCGAATTCGTCTCGTTTTTCGATAATTGATGAGAGTGGTTGTGCTCCCCTTCGTATGTCGCTACTACAATCGATTGATCTTCTATACTTCTTTGAACCTTCATAAAAAATAGTTAAAAAAAATGTTTTAATCAGTACGTGGCAGAGCCAGCATAGGGCTACGAGGGGCCATGGCCCCCCCATGAAATTAATCTAAAAAAACATATTAAAAATTGTAAATACCTTCTTTTTGACAGGGCATGTAGGAGCAAAAGAGCACTTGAAGTAAGCTCTAGGACAAGGGTTGTCTCTTGTTACCTTCTGCCCATATTTCCTCCATTGATAGCCATCCTTAACTATCTGTAATTCGAAACAAACAACCGATTATTTTCAACCGAAAAAATCGAACAAAAGAAAAACCCGGGAAATCGAAAATTAAGAAGTTCATGGACTCACAAGGCTCGAATCGGACGATGATTCGGTTCTAACAAAAACCCGGGAAATCTTGGCTTTTACGATTTCTTCCCTAGGTAATTTCTTCGATGAATCTTCATCACTAGAGCTGCTCTCAGAGTTGCCAACATTATTATTATTGTTATTACTATTAATTATGTTGGTTTGATCAGCTTTTCTCTTCTTTGATGCAGTAATATTATTATTATTACTATCTTCCAATAATACCCCTCCATGATTATTATTATTATTATTGCTTGTTTGGTGCTCAGCTAATTGGTTCCTCAGTTCATTGTAATTCTCACACATAACTGTCAGAATCTCAGTCAGCTTCTTGTTTTCTGCATTCACCCTATTGATTTCTTCTACCAAAGCACCTCTCTGCAGAGAGATAACAACAAATTTATTAAATATTCTTATTAATTTAATTTAATCAAGAAAAAACTCAAACTTAGTGTGTGACAAAAAAAAAAAAAAAAAAAAAAAATTAAATTCACCTCTTCTTTGAGAGTTGCACTATTTCTTTCCAACCCAATAGTGAAACTACTCTCCACCACTTCTTGCTTCTGAAAAATTCAAAAAATAAATTTGTTTATTGCTCAATAATTTTTTTTCCTTCGTAATTAGCGAAGAGAAACTGGTTTAATTAAGTTAAGCGTACCTGAGCGGGAGATTCGTCGAGGAATCTGAGAGGTTTGGTGTTGAGATTCAATGAAGTATTGAGGAGGCTAGTGAATTCCATAAGTTGTTACAATTATGTATTGTAGATTGAAAGATCTAGTGTGTGTGTGTGTGTGTGTGTTTTTTTTTGCAGGAAATATTATTCAATGAGGTAAGGATACATTTGACCTGCAGGCTTATTTTATATGTATGTAATAAAGGGACAAGTTGTTGTAGGAAGGTAAGGAGGAAGATGAGATAAATTAGTGGCAGCTGTAAACTGGACTGGTTTGATTTTAATTTGTATACTTGTTTTTTATATACAATAAATTAAATATAAATAAATAAATATTTTATATATATATATAGTGGCCGATGGCAAGAAAGTAAAACATGGGTCGGTTTGATTTAGAAAATCTGCCACACGGGTGTTTGAGAAAAAAAACAAATTGGCCCTTGCAACATATATCGCGTATATAGATTATGTGCAGATTTACGATTTCGGTTTAATCGAAAGTTAAAATATCTCTAAATAATTATACTTTAGAGATAGGTTCAATTATTTAATTTGAACGTTGGAGAATTTTTTTTTTTTTTTTTATCAATTTCTAAAATATATTATAATATCATTGCATCGTAAATTTGCTCGATTAATTGATTGTTTGTGAGCAAATAAATCTAACCATCCTCAATTGTAGAATGAATGCTATTCTTTTCTATTCTAAATAAGTGTCGTTTTTCACCTTTGCACAAATCTTAAGAAATTCAATAAATATGTCTTGACTTTAGTATTGGAGAGTTTATAAGAACATAACTGAAAATTATGTAATTAATACAGCGTTAAAAATTTAAAGTGATAAATATAAAACAATTTTTTTTTTTTTCTGAAAATTATGTAATTAATGCAGCATTAAAAATTTTAAGTGATAAATATAAAACATTTTTTTTTTTAAAAATGACAGATATTGTTGCCAAAGACTATGAAATATATTTGGAGATAAAGTATCACTTCAAATCTTAAAAAAAATTAATCAAGCTAATTGAGTTTTGAGAAAAATGAAGAATAGGAATACACTAACAAAGAAAAAATAATTACTTTTTTATTTTCTTTTTGGAATTCCCAAATAGTAATTAATAAAAATGAAGAGAAGGAAAAAGAAGAAAAGACTTTCAAAGTTGCCCATTGAAATTCTATTTTCCCACATAAAGGTCAAAGTCAAGCCCACCCTTTGGGAGGAAGAAGAAAACGTACGTACCTTTTTCACTCTCACTATTTAATAATTATTTATTAATACCACCAAAATTAATAAAGTTGAGCGAACATTGACCATTCTTTCTTGTCTTTATCTTTATTAAATTATTATTTATTAATATTAACATATTATTGTAAAATAATATATTTCTCTATACTAATTGTCACTCGAAGTGGTACAGATTTTACTTGGCTGTCACACGTTTACACGCATTTTCCACGTTGTAATCTTATTTTATTCGAGTCGACGTAATTTTGAAATAAGTTTTTATTGTATTACTTTTTAGTATTCTGTTCAGGGTTGGGACAGGGTTCGGTCGATTGATTACCTAAAAACCGACACATTCGACAAACTAATTTTGCTCAACTTTGAATGGGAACCATTGCCGACCCAACATTTGTGGGTCGCCTGATGATTGACAACCAAATATTTGGTTCCGAAATAGGTTGGTTCATAGATTATACCCGCCACCGAGTTCACTTAAAAAAAAATCAATTTTTGGAGTAAAACTACGCACATTTTGCGTAATGACTAATGACATTGCACAATCATTATTTATCAGTTCAAAATAATTAATAGCAATTTGATAAAAAAATATAATTAAGAAATTGAACGTAATTAAGAAAATACACCCTTTATTTTATAAAGTTTAATCAAATTTTAATAATATAGTTGATTGACCGGTAATTATCGGTTAACCAATTTTTGAAATATTAAAAACTACCAACCGACACATTATAGATGGGTTGGTTGGAATTTTTGACTCGATCCAATGGATCGTTTAAAAAATTATTATCCGTCTAAAAATATGGTCGGTAATGGGTCGGTTGGTGGATAAAAAATAACCCAGTCTCTGCCCTAATTCTTAGGGTTGTGCGTTGTTTGGGTTGGTTAAAAACCAGCCTGAATTCAACCCACTCATCCAACCAACTTTGGTAAATATTAAACATCGTTATCGACCCAATTGACATGGATTGGGTGGTGGTTGATAACCAATTTACTAGGTCGGTTGATGGTTTGGTTGAAGGGTCGGTTATCCATCGAAATATTTTGTAATATTTTATTAGTTGTTACAACACTATTTTTTCTTACAATTAAGTATGACTAGTTCAAAAATATTCAAATACAAAATTCAAAACATTACGGGTCATATGCATTGCAATTCAACATAAATTATTGAACAATTAATAATCGTCCAAATATTTTAAGCTAGATGTCTTAAAATTAAAATAGTTCAAATTAGATAATTAGGTTAGATTTATTGCTTTTAAGATTTTGATCAATATTAGAAAATTTAATAAATGTGATATGGAATAGAAATTTGAAATTAAAAATATGAAACAGTTTAAATAAAATTAATACATAATAAATTAATAAATAAAGTTGGTTAGCCGATATTACACGACTAACCACTTTTTTAGCATATTAGAAACAATTATCGACCCAACTACACATGGATTGATTGAAATTACCGACCCAACATAAATGGGTCGATTGATGGTTGATTATCCATCACAAATTATTGATCGACAATGGGTTGGTTGGTGGTTAAAACCGATCCATGCATAACCCTACTAATTTTGTCAATATTCAATTTTATTGACCAAATAGTAGGATTCAATAACATTTATAATGTCGAGCCCCGTAAAGATATTATTCAATATATTCTCAATTTTTTAATTAAAATTTTACTAGCTGGAGTTAAATGAAAATGAATTTAAAATTTAAATACAAATGTAATTAATTATTTTATTAGAAGTCTTGATCACAAGTCCAAATCATTCAGGCTGGTATAAAATTAATGTGTGTAAAACACATTATTGACTAATAATTCAGACATACTCCATCACCCCATCAATTCTGTGTTCTAGAAGGATAACTCACGTGTGCTTTTATACACCTTTCCTAACCCATCATACATAACTTTTAAAATTACACCAACCCCCACTAAGGTTAAGTATATTTACAATTTGACCCTTTAAATGTTGAAAATTACACACCTCTCGACGTTTGATATTAGCTTTTATTTTATTTTCTAGTTTTATTGTTGCTTTTTTTTATTTATTTATTATTTTTTTTTTTTTTAAGAGAACGACACCCGATGAGGGTGGGGGGTTAGGCTTGACCCCCTACCTGTTTATAAAACAAAATTGAAGAAGTACATAATGAGTTTCGCTCAAATTGCTACTGCCCAACATATGGCTAATAATAGCAATTGACAAACAAAAGACAATAGCTAACTAACAAAACGTTAAGAATACGGGCAAAACAGGTGGCCCAAATAATAAAAAGGACAGGGGTGAGAATGATCATAGAAGGTCGGGGAAGACCAAGGTAGACCGTTCGCCTCACCACAACAGCCGAGGCCACTTACACTTTCGCCAAAAATGGGCGGAACAGGTATAACGGCTGCGAAATGTGTGGCACCATTCGGCAAACGGTCTAGTCTTGATAGACCCAAACAATCCATAATCACCCCAACCCTTCCTAACATGTAAAGTTCACGAAAATTCCTAAATTGCCAATAATATAAAAACGTGGAATGCATGGCACCTATGTGCGAGACTGTCGTCGAAATGATGAATATCCAAGCTGGTCCATTCGAATCATCTGCTGAATAGGTCGAGGAAGCTCCGCTGTTGTGAAGGTACGAGCCAACTCGGCCTGACACCCCAAGTTAGCTAATGCATCAGCGACTGTATTGCCCTCCCGGTAGATATGTGTAATCCTGTACTCCGAAGTAGAAAGAGAGTTCCGGATCGCCGTGAGAGAACTCTGAAGACTCCAATGACCTTTGTCCGTGTGCGAAAGAAGTCGAACAGCGACTTCTGCGTCAAGCTCGATCCAAACTCTAGTGAATTGCCTCTGAATAATAAATCGCAGCCCCGAGGCAAGGGCAGCAAGCTCGACTGCAATACTGCTCGGGGCAGAGATCCTCTCGTGAAATGCAAGTATGGCCTCAGCGTCCGAACCTCTGATAATCCCGCCAATAGCTGCAATTTGGGTGGATTCTCTACGGGCTCCGTCTGTGTTTAACTTCACCCAACCCGGATCCGGTGGAAGCCAAACAACTTGATGAGGTGTGAGAGTTGGTATTCTGACTCGGTAATATAGGCCAAGAGACTCAGCCACGTGGGGAATGCCAGTCCAGCTGTCCGCCGAAAGTAAGTTGGTTTGGTGAAGAATCCTGATGTGCTGGATGACCCTGTAAATGATGGACGAAGCGTGAGCCGTGATATCCTTGTGCTTGCTGTCATTTCTTGCAATCCATAAGTACCACAAGATCAAGCAAGGCACAATGGTCGTGATGTGTGTGTGGTGTGTGAGTGTGTGCGAAGTGAAGTGCTGCCAATAAAGTAAAATCTGGGGTATGTGCGTAGTGTGTGCAGGTGTATAGCCAAAAAGATAGAAAAAATGATGTCATACCCTCTTAGCCGTCGGGCTCTCCACGAAGATATGATCAATCGACTCAACAGAAAGAGACTCGACAGACTGAGATACAAGACTCGACACAGGAATAGATGGATCTGGACAACAATAGCACCTCGAGGCGAGAGAGGTGCCTCGAGACTGAAGTTTGAGATCAACTGGAATACGCTGAAGAAGGAGACGCCAAAGAAAGATAGAAATTGTAGGAGTAAGACAAGATCCCCAAAATATACGAAGAAGAAGGGTAGGGGTATGCTGCTGTCGTATCAAGGCCCAAGCCGAGGTCAAGGAAAACTTGCCATCCGAAGAAGCTCTCCAAATGGGCAAATCACCCGAAGCACCAGAGATTAGGACCGAGCAAATCCTATCGATCCACTCAAAAGGAATATCCTCAGCTAGCTTGTTTCGATCCCACTGACCGTTAACCAAATAATACTCCACACGAATTGACGTTAGCCGACCACTATCAATAATGCCCAAAATGGGACCATCGCCAAACCAGTGGTCGTGCCAGAAATAAACATGACCTGGACCAATCCGCCAAAATATTTGAGCTTGAACACGCTCTCGGACACGGCACATGCGTTTCCACACCGTGCTATAGAGTGAAGACAC